CTCATCTACCTCCTCAACACAAAGCAAATCTCACTCACAATGAACTGAGGCAACTCACACCTCACATAGCACTCACTTCACCTGGTTCGCTCTCTATGTAACCAACATTTATGATGGGGAACAGAAGGTGCCTCAAGGTCAAACATTTCAAGCACTTGATGCACTCTTGTGATAGTTGACCCACCTGCAGTAGTTCAAGGTCATCCGGAGATATGGCATCTGGTTGCAGCTCAGTGAGCATGTCATTGAGAATGTGGAGATTGGTCTGCACCACTGTCAAGTCTTGACTCAACCGCTCACGTTGGGCAGTGCTCAGTCGACGAACCGTGCCCTCGTGATCAACCAGTGTCTGATCGCCACTGAGGCTGTACATCCCTGATGGCATCGAGTGATGTGTGGTGGATGAGGCCTGTTGCAACTGCTGCGACGACTCATACTGCTGGTGTTGGTACCGATGCTGTTGCTGCTGCTGCTGCTGCTGCTGATGGTGATTCAAAAATGTGCGTGGTGCAGTTGCGAAGAAGACCTCTTGACCTAGGGGGAACCAATCACTTCATAAGTGATGCTTACTCAGAAGTTAAAATAGGAGAGTTTTATTTGGAGATGAAGATCGAGAGTACTGCCTGCAAATGAATTCTGATGAACTCAGCACCTGACTCACATCAAGTGTTCAAATATTATCCAAGGGAAGAAAAGGGACACTCACAATTCCCACCCAAGATATGTCCAGAACACAACCTTTCAGTTATGCCCCCTCTGATGGAAACACTGAAAGCGAAAGGAAAGGAGGAGAAGGATGTGGTGGCTACGTGGCAATATGATGTCTCTTAGTGATTGCAAGCATAATTCTGTTTGACAGGGTGGCTGCCTCCTCCATCTGACACAGTCAGTTGTCAGTCAAAAAGGAAGAGGAATTCAAAATTTATAAATAGATTGCCCCAAAAAGGAGGCGAACAGCAGAGTTTTGCCATTGTTTGGGCGCTGTGATTAAAAATAGTATTCCTCTTATTCTTTGGCTAGTAGCCTCGGTTCTCTCGCTCTGCCTCTCTCCCTACCTCGAAGAGTCGTGCATGAGTGAGTGGGCAAAAGTGCTTACTAATGCAAGAGGGCTGTGCATCACATCCACATGCATCACTTTGAGTGTGGACATAACATCAAGCAACAGAGGAGGAAACGCTGAAACAAAATCTTCCAGATGGAGCAAATACCAGTTGGGAAGACTACAGCGGTGCGAAATCAACCTGTTAGAAGTTCATCCTCGCAGTGTAAAATACTTTAAACGGTTAAGCACCTTCTCACACCCTTCCCTTTCTATTCCTCCTCCCAACCCTCCTAAGCAGCCAACGAGGGCGATAGTGCGATTCCTGGCACGTTTACTGCGCAACGACACAAATACGTGACACATATTCTCCATCCACATTTGGTGATGCAAATGTGGAGAAAAGGAGGAACTACAATGAATAGGACAACTGACAATACAAAGTAGCTGACATTGTCCACCTCCGCAGAGGAAGTTGGAAGCAAAAAAGGTCCCATTAACAGGGGACGAAACACTGAGAAAATCCTTCAGTGGATTCTGTGATTAGACAGGCTTTTCCATGAAGTGGCTTTGCTGTTGAACACCATTCTATCTGATGCATTGCTGGTCACATAAACTCTGGCAGGAAGGGGAAAACACAAAGAAAAATCCTCATGTTTGCAATTAAAAATACTCCCATCACAAAATGTTTTTCTTTTTGAGTGCTCATTGCGATAACAGTAAGCATTAGGAGGAAGAAGAAGGCGCTGAAATGTGGATTGGGAATAAGATTGTGGGTGAGTGTAGCTAAATGAGAGTAGATGAGGCAAGGAGGCTGCAGCGCTTTTCTGGTCGCTCTTGAAATTTTCGTGAGCCACTCCTCATGCAGATGACACAAAA